TCCCCACCACCCACACCCTCTCGGGTCCCTGCCAGAAGGGTGAGGTTCTCCCCAACAAAAGGACTCTGATCAGCCTCTCATCTTCCTACCCCCATTTCTGTTGTAGTTAAGGATCCTCTGGAGCCTTAACTATGTGACAGACACTTTTAGCATTGTCAGGTGCCAATGATTGCTATGTCCCCTGTGCCTGCCTCTGAGGTGCCATGAGGGTTTTGCACTCCCAGGAAGCAGAGATGCTGTGCTGGGAGCAGGCTGGGTGCTGGCAGGTCACACATGGGGCAAAGGCCAGGGGTCTGGTCTGCTCTCAAAGCCCATGCCAGCTTTGCCTGTTGGGTGACCGGGCACAGGGATGCTCAGAAGGCCTTCCCCCTCTGCTTATGGGCAGCAGTGACCAAGAGGGGTGATACCAGGAGGTAGCATAGCCGTGTCCTGCCCAAAGGCTGGCATGTCCCACACCCCTGACCCTCCAACTGTGCCTCCCCCAAGGCAGTCTTCTAGAGGGTCATCCTTTCCCAGACCAGACAGAGGCACCAGCTATCTCCAGCCCCATGATCTCCCAGAGGACATGTGGGCTGTGGGCTCAGCAGCAAGAAGGAAGGGGCTGGGCTTTATGCAAGCTGAATCCCCATGGCCTTGGGATGGTAGGGAAGAGAAGACAAGAGGACAACTCTGCATAGTCCTAGCACCATCCTGAGGACAGACCCTGTAGCTGGGCAGCCCTGGTTCCCATCGCCTGTGGTGCTCCATCCGCAGGCTTCCTGGCCCCCATGCCTGTCTCACACTGCTCAGGGGCACCTCCTGCTCCTTGTTGCTGATGTCCACCTGCCAACTGACCACCTGAGTGAAATAAGTGCCACAGAGGGATGCACAGTCCCCGTCTGGGCTTGGGAAGTGGATCCCAGCCCTCCCCAGCAACTAGATAGGGGACACTTGGCTTTGCAATTGGTATGATAAGGAAAACAGACACCTGAAGGGAAGCAGCCTTGATACGTACCCAGCAAAAAAGAAGGCAGCCACCCGGTGAGGGATTTTGAGCCCCTTGGTGAAGAGGGATGAAGGGTAGACAAGAATAAAGGTTGAGAGACAGAGCAGTGACTGCAGGAGCAGAAAGTTCTCCATGGATCAGAGAGGTTACAGCCAGACTCTACACACCTTGGCCCAAGAAACACATGGGCACAGGACCCCAGTGCCCTTGTGTTTGGAAGCAGATACTGGTGGGATTTCTTTTTCTTTTGAGGTTGCATTCTCTTCCCAGCTCTGTGCGTGACTCACGAGAGGAGCAGGGTCCCTTCACCTCCCTGAGCTGTGCTTTTGCCCAACTGCAAAAGGAGGCTAGAGCCCCTGACCTTCTGGGTGGGGAAAGCAGCTCGGCAACGTCTCTGCATTTTTGGCAGAGACAAAAACCTGCCCCTTTACGAGTCCCGAGAGCTTGGCAAACATGTCCTGCCTCACTTCCCACCCACTGCTGGGATGTTGCAAGCATCTGGCTCTCACAGGAGGGTAACCCCTCCTGCCCTTACCTGCACTCCCTCCCTGGGAAGGCACAGGTTTCTGCAGAGGCTGCACACTGAAGCCCCTTTGTTCCCAAGGGATTTTCCACCCCCACCTTGTGTCTATCTGCCACTCAACGCTCAGACGCAATGCCCCCAGGAATATGCTGCAACACCTCTGCTGCAACACCTCTGCACCTGGCCGGCACCTCCCTTTCCCCGTGGGACCAAAGGACTGGATTCCCCTAGCAGGCATGGAAGGATGGGTGGTTTCCCTGGCTCAGGCACAGCTTTTTCTAGACTCCCTGGGGAATAAGATCTCCATTCCCCTCCATCGCTGCAGTCACTACTGCTGACCGGGGACGCTGCGCTTTTCATCCCAGCCTGCTCAGGGACAGGATGCCTCAAGGGCCCTCTGCACAGGGAGGGGATGTTCCCACTGGGGCTGTAGCTGCTGGGGAAATCAAGGCACCACGCAAGGCAGGGACTTACCGGGCTCAGGTGCAGCACAGCGAACCCAGGAATCACAAGAGCAGGCACCAAGCACCACACCTGCTGCCTACCTGATAAAGGGGGGAGAAGCTCCCTCCCAAGGAAGTGTAAGCCCTGACAGAGCTGCAGCGAGGCTTTGACTCCTGCTTCCTTCGCCTGGGCTCTTCCCATTTGTTGTAACACCACCGGTGTGGGGCTGGCGGTGGCATGCAGCGAAGCAGCGTGCCTGCACCAGGGCCCTTTGACCGCGGCAGACCCGGGGCCCAGGAGCCTCCGGGAGGCCAGTCCCAAGGGGCTGACGTCAGCCCCGGTCCTTGCAGCTCCCGAGCCTGGAGCCGAGCCTTCGGGGAGCTGTTTCTGGTTTCGGCACATGGTGTCTCTGTGATAAAGCACAGCCAGCCCGCTTTCCTCATCCATGCCTGGCTCCCCAAGAGGAATCCGCGGGGCTAGGAAAGGTCAGCCTGGCTGAACTAACCGCCCTTGGATGGGACTCGCTGGGCAAGGGACAGCTTGCATCAGGCAGACTGGGAGATGGAGCAGTAGCTTTTGGTCCCATGTGTCGGTTCATTCTCCTGAATTCTGCTTGAGTAGGAGCCAGGAGTAGGGCCTTGGCAGGGTTTTTGAAGGGAACAACAAGGGAAGGAAATGAAGCCAGACAGCCACCAGAAACAAAACAAAGGTTAGGCGCAGGAGGGAAGCGGAAGGGCACAGAAGGGAGGCATGGACCTTCCTGCCGGCTCCCTCACCCTGGATAGCTTGCGTTCCCCTGGTCTGCAGGGCCCTGGCTGCTTGCCCCAGGCAGGCTCAGCTTGGGAACACAGCTGGAAGGCATGGGACACTGCTTACCAGCCTGCTCTGGTGCCCTGATCACAGCTCTTCCCCAGGGGAGTGCCTCATCTGCTCCTTGGTGCGTGCCCTGGGGCATCTCCTGCCCGAGGTCCGCCTGGTGTGCATTCCTGGCCCTTGTGGGAGCAGGGTGGCAGTTGCTGGGGCTGGCAGAGAATGCCAGGCAAGCATATTTTGGACTCAGCTGCTTGCCCAGGGGCTTCAGGAAAGCCTTGTAGTGAAACAGGACCCTGTCCTGCCAGCCCACATTTCTGTGGCGGGCAGATGTTGTTCCTCCCTCGCCCCCCTTCTTTCCCCAGCACTGCCGCCCCGACAAATGGGGTCCTGGGCTGAGGAGCAGTATCGTTTACAGGGAGGAGGGGGCATTTAAATGGACAGCTGTTTATTTTTGTTGTTGTCCCCTTGCTCTGGAGCTGTTCCTGCCATTTGGGCCGGTGGCAGGTCCGCGTGGGGGGAGCTGAGAAGTTCAGGCTCCTCGGGCAGAAAGGGCTGAGCGGTGTCCCGGAGCGGAAAGGATCCCAAGGAGGGTAAGAGTGACCAGGGGAAGGGATGGGGAGGAGAGCGGTCCCCTCCAGCGCTTCTCCCCCGAGCAGCCCCCGGCTCCTAGAGGGGTGCGGACCCCCCGAGCACCCCACTCGGGGCTCCCGCATCCCTCTCGGGTGGGAAGGTCCTCGGGGCGAGGGAAGGCGGGGACGGACGGCGAGGGTCTGCCGGTGCTCCCGCAGGCTCGGGGGCCAGCATGCCCGCCCCGCCGCTGGCCGCCCCGCTGCTGCGCGCCCTGCTCGCCCGCCTGCTGCCGCTGGCCCGTAAGCGCCTCCTGCCGCCGCTCCGCCGCCTGGGCCGCCGGCTGCGCTCCCGGGAGAGCCGCCAGGCCCTGCTCACCTGCCTGCTCTGCCTCCTCAACCTGCGCAAGAAGGTGGACGACTGAAGCCCGCCGGGGAGGGGAAGGGGAGGGCGAGGCGCGGCCGCTCACCCCCCGCCTCCCCTGCCCGCCGCGGGAGGAGGGACCCGGGC